TGTGAGGAATATGGAAAGTGAAAGCAGTAAAAGTAAACGACGTCCAAATTTTTAGATGGGAGAAAAAACTATTATATTCAATGTGTATTGTGGACTCCGTGAAAGGAATAAAAGTATGTTGGTTAACAATGTAGTTACCCTGTGTAGTAATTTGACTAAGTGTCGACGAGAAGTGTATACATAATTGTAAACAATTTTAAACAAAGTGAAGGCAAATTGGATAATGGATATGTTAAAACCATTGAAACCAGAGGTAGAAAACACATCCAGCTTGAAGATCATACCAAATATGCTATTCGGAGGAAATTCCATGCTTTCTTTTTTCCAAACGAAATCCCAAACTTAAAGAAAGTTGAAGTTAAAATAAATTCCGATAATTCAATACCCAAAATATCACGACGTGTTTTATTGCGAACATTACAACAAATGAACATTAAATACCTATATGAAAAGAAGCGGGAATAGTGTTCTTTTAGAAAAATATGAAATTGTTTTGTGGCGGAGAAATTACGTACAAAAAATCCTAGAGTATCGTCGTAAAGGACGAAAAGTACACTATAGTAGTATATTTAAAATATGAGTAATTCCAATGAAAAGAAACCTTTCATTGAAATAACAGCAGGGTAAATCTCTCTACCTGCCTTTTCGATAATTAATTTTTGTAACAAACAAAAAATTTTATTAAAACAGTTATAGTTTGTTATTAAATGATCATAAAGAAAGTTTCTTTGTCTCGTATGATTTGTACAAAATTAGAGAATTTAAAATTAGTTTAGTGTTTTTTTGTGATACGAAGTATTCACTTCAGAAGTTAAATATAAGTCTCATATCATATTATATTAAGATTAATTTTTAAAATTCACTGCAACAGTGTGAACGATACGCTACTGAATGCTAAGTTAGGAAATGAATGAGCAATTTATCTATCTCTATATTACGACAACGTTGATCTACTATTCCTTTCTACCGGTCCTAGAATACGATGTTGTCATGTATGACTTTTACAAAGAATATTATCGTACTTTAGGTGTTTTCTATATATAAGTATTATATTATACATAAATATTGATGTTATTAAATACATTTTATTAGATACCTTAACAAATACAAAACGATCATTAATATGATAATTTTGCTGCATGTCAAATTAAGTTATAAATTGCTAGAATATCTATCATCACAAACTGGCAACGATGTTGTCGCTTTATCGCATTTACAGTTCGGAGAATTTACTGCCTACAAATTTGATTCTCAATTACAGGTCAAAAATTAAGAGAAATATTAACCAAAGCTTAAAATGTTCCTTTTGGGGTGTTCTATAACTTCCATTATGCAGATTTTCAAAGTTTATAGCTTAATTTTGTTTATATCTCTTATAAACAAATGAATTCACAACTTTTTAGTGACATTCTTAATATTTAATTGTCATAACTTTTTATCAGTAAAGATAAAGCAATTTTGCAAATTTTTCGAAGCTGAAAAAATTACCTTTAAAATGAGGGGTTTTTCAAAGATAATAGCACGTATTAAAGCTGAGTTATACTTGGAAAAATACCAATGAATTCTTTTTCACAAAACTTGTTATAAATCCGGTTGTAACAATCGGATGAAAGTTTACCAAACGCCATTTTCCTCATTTTTTTCAAAAAGAAAAATTTTTATTTTGGTAAAATTTAATATATCCAATAGTTTAGGAATTACAATCACTTAAACAATTAAATTATTATCTAACGGGTTGCCTGATACCCTCGAAAAATCAAACATATGCACCAAAAAACATAAAAAAACGACAAGGTAGCGAGGGGACATAATAGTGAATATTCAACCCCTGGCTCCTAGACTATTATAAGTAAAATACATTGCCATCAGCAGCATGCAGTGGTAAAATAAACTCCACGAACTAAGAAAGTGCTTATCAAATATTTAACAAGTATTACTACAACAAGCTCTTGAAAGTTTTCTTGAAGGGAAGAGAACCAGTAAACCACTTCTAACGATACTAATGGAGAACAAACCACACGTACATATAGGGAAAAGATAAATATCTTGGAGAGGTAAAAATCAAATTAGGGTAGGGTGGGGCAAGTGCGTACCCGGGGTAAGTGCGTTTGGACTAAATAAAATATTTGTAACGTGAAGTTGGGTATGAAACCGATTTCAAATTTAGCGCCAAGTATTAAACGAAACAGCTACACATATGAGTGGCAACGTCGTTGAATTCACGACATAGTATCACACGTGTTTGTTGGTAGTTACGTTTGAGGTTATACAAAGAGCAGGTAAGTGTTTATTCTAAGTCTTGTTAATCTCGTACCGTTTACTAGATTTGAATTTTTATTGAATATTTTCGATTAATAATGCAGAAAATTGAATTATTTTGATACCATTTATGATTTTTCGCTATAGTTTGCCAGTAATTAAAAGGTGCGCACTTGCCCCAGAGATTTATCACATGGGGCAAGTGCGTTTTTTGTGTGGGGGCAAGTGCGTCCTTACCTTAACACACTTGCCCCGGCATAAAATCTGAATACAATTTTTTAATTCTTGAGTAGAGATGGTCCGAAATTACGTCCGAAAAACGGAGAGAGGTTCGCAATATACAGCAAAAGTGCTTAATAATGCCTTAACGGATATAAGAAATCAGAATTTCACTGTCAAGGGAACATCGCGCGCATACAATATTCCTGTGACAACTTTACGGGATCACTTGAGTGGAAGAAGAGGCGCGAAGGTATCAGGACAAGGTCGACCTACCGACATTCCATTGGCAGAAGAAAGGCGACTGGCAGAAGGTCTTCGCACGATGGAGCAATGGGGATTCGGTTTGTCCCGTAAAGAAGTTTAGGAATTAACCCAACAATTCGTCCAATCAAACAACTTGAAAACTCAATTTAAAGATAGTAGACCAGGTGAAGACTGGTTCTTAAATTTTAAAAGAAGACATCGGCTGTCAATAAAGAAACCGGAAATAGTTGAGTTTGCAAGAAAGAAAGCCATGAATCCTTTTGTTGTTAAAGATTATTTTAAATTATTGAGCGAAACCATTCAATCTTTGGGGCTTGCTGACAAACCTGAGAGAATCTACAATATAGATGAAACTGGATTTTCGAGTGACCCCTCTAAAACAAAAGTTGTTGGGAAGCAAGGAGCACCATGCACAAGAACCACCAGTGGACCGGGAAGAGAGAACACTACAGTGGTGATGGCAGCAAGAGCTACTGGCGAAAAAATTCCTCCATTAATTGTTTTTAAAGGCAAAAATATCTGGGATGAATGGATGGCCAACGAACATGATGCCTTCCCTGGTACTGCCTATGCCGCTACTAAAAACGGCTGGATTGAAGCTATTGTATTTCGAAACTATTTTGAGCGTACTTTTGTAAAAAACATTGGTCCTTATCGGCCTATACTAGTTATCTACGACGGACATTCAACGCACCTCACGGCAGATTTGGTCAATTACGCGAGATGGGAAGGAATCACCATCCTCAAACTACCGGCTCACACAAGTCACATTCTTCAGCCATTGGATTTAGCGGTGTTCAAAGCTTTAAAATCAATGTGGGACGAAGAACTCGTAAAGTGGCAGCGACAGTTTGCTGGTCGGAGACTTCCCAAAAAAGTTTTTTCTAAGCTGACTGGGAAAATATGGACAACAATCAACCCAGAAGTTATCAAAATGGATTTAAGAAAGGAGGTATCTTTCCATTTGATGATAAAGTTGTACCCGAAGATCGTTACGAGGCTTCTTCTTTAAGGCGATGGCAGATTTTAGCGGACGTCAGAGATCAGCGCCAAGAGACTTCTACAGATGTGACAGATTCCACCTTCGAGACAAACTCGTGAGTATCTTATTTCAACAATATGGACATTGTAGGATTTTATCGAGCTACTCTCGTAACCTTATGATTTTTTTTCTCTGTTTTTCAGATGTCCTGAGAAAAAAAAACAAAGTGCTTTGTTTTTCCTCAGGTGGAAGATATATCACTTGTAGCAAAAGAGGATATCATTAAAGTATTACCCGCTCCACATGTTAGGAGGGGAATGCATAATTTTAATACCAAGTTTCCGCAAGATATCCAACATAAATTAAGGTAAACTGTACAATTTTTGCCCTTAAATAAAGTACTTTCTCATTTTGTGGTGTGTCATTAGACCCTTCTGAAGTTATTTTGTTTTCAAAATTATGAAAATTAAAAAAAAAATTCAGAACTGTGTTCAGAAAAGCCTAATAAATAAGTGCACTTGCCCCGTAATTCAACGCAAGGAAAATATATAAAACTATGCCCCGGAGACGCACTTGCCCCAAACTGACGTGGCAAGTGCGTTACTGCGATATGTAAGAGAAAAAAAATTATAATTAATATGCGCGAAAAGCCACAGATTTGGAATCTTCTCTAAATAAAGATCATTGTCAAAGTACTTAGTGCACGTATTATCGATTTGGCAGAAATAACCCAATTGAAGCATTGATACAATTAAAACCAAATATGAATAAAAGGAGGCGCACTTGCCCCACCTTACCCTAATTATTATATTACAGTTTATTTATATTAATTAAAATAATCCAATTATTTTCTGTAACAATGACACCGCGTATTAGCAGATCTAGACAAACTTTTCTTGTTCTTTGTTACCTCGTTATTGCCAATCATACATTTTTTCCCTATTGAAGGTTATTGTGAGATTTATTGCTATTAGCCTTAATTCACTTATCATCCCGTGCTGAGACAGATCTTCAGTGCTGAGTCTTGTTGGTTAGAATTTTAGTTATGAACTTTTTTATTTTATTTATTTCGAGTACTTTAACCTTTAACTGATCACGTATCGGTAAACTAGCATTCCCAATTGCATGAATCCAGTTTACAATAAATGCCCTTTTTTCATATAACTTTCATAATCTGTGTAAGCACTTTATATTATTAATAAGGATTAAACCTTATTTTATTCCACATAGGAGCCAAATACAAATTATTAAAAAACAAACAAACATTGAACAATAATATTGTCTATTTTGAGGTTTTGATCAACCTTTGTGTAAGATAAATAAAGTTTTTATTAAGCTTTTTTATAAAGCTGCTATTATTACACAGCTATTAACTCAACTTTTGAAAATAATAACCTAAAACTACATGCGAACTATTTTCAACGAGGTTTGATATACTTCTTATAAACAAAAACAATAAAATATAATAATTAAATCAAATAATGAATTTATTTTCTTTTATTATTCAATTTTGCTTGATCCAAACACTGCTGTACATGGAGGCTATAATCATCAAGGTTGATGACTTTATCACATATTTCACATGTTCTTAGCTTGGAAGGCGCTTGGGAGGAATATCTTGTGACCATTTGTTCTTCCTCGCCACAAGACGAAGCATGTTCCTGAAACAATAGTTGTTCGTGAGAATGTATACAGGGTAATTGATTAGTGTGATAAATAACTGGATTATATGCTCTAAAAATGGTTAAAATATGCATGCAACATGCACTTAAGAAGTAACCAAATATGCCTTTATTATATGAATTTATATATGCACTTTAAAAAATATATTTTTTTAACTTTTTGGGCTTGAGATTTGGTGAGAAATAAAATTATAGTATAACTTAGAATTTGTTTATTTATTACTACATTTAATAAAAAAATATAAATGAAAATTCACAAGAAAATGTCCTCGTTCTTCTTGTTACAGTATATAATCATGAAATGTTCAATATTGTCAAGAGTAATGGTTATGCCTTCTATCTGTTAATATGTGTTTATATGAGGAAAACGATCTTTCAACATCACAGGATGTAATTGGCGCAAATCTAAAATTTGACACTAGCGAGGGATCCATATTAATAACTTCGTTAAAGCTTCCATTGATTATGTTATTAATTGATCGCAATGAAGAAAAGCCTTCATTCCGGTTTAAAACTTCACTTAATTTATCTTTAATTTTTTTTCAATTGTCCCTGAAAGGTTTACTATTCTTTCTTTGACATAATCAACAATGCAAATACTATCATTTAAAGATCATTTTTGACTTTTTAGTTTTGTAATAGAGTTTACAATTATGTCAAAACTTGCTTTTATATAGGACAGTTCATTCTGAACAGAATTCTCACTAAAAATATTTTCACATTTCTGAACAGCAATACAACAAGAAGGATCAAAATTTGATATAACATTTTTGATATCAATATAATTATTTGCAAGAAATATGGCACTATTCAACCACGTCCCCCATCTAGTCAACATTGGTTCCGGTGACAAAGGGATATCGGGAAGCATCTACCTATATACTTCTACTCGCAATGGTGCTTTTAAAAATACTTTCTTGACATTGTTGATTCAAGTGTTTACATTTGGAAACTCGAGTCTACCTTTCTCTGCCACCCTGTTTAAACCATGCGCTAAGCATGTACAATGAATCAAATTCGAAAAAAGACTAGTAACATAGCCAGAATGATCGCCAACGTTCGGAACGGACAGGCACCCTAAGAAGAAGAAAAACAGCTTTAACCATGTAGTAAAAGGCATCGCTAACTAGTAGCAAATTTTTTTCAAAAGGTACTTGATTCGCTAAAAAGAAATTTGTCAAAGATTCATTAACAGATCGAGTAATTGTTGCATAGTTGATTTTTTTCAACATTTTACGTTAATTAAATACGACTTGTTGGAGTCATCAGCAGAAATGTTTAAAACTCCAATAATTAAATTCGCGATTTGCCGACCCTTGGCGTCGGTAGTCTCGTCGACAGATATCTACAGTTATTCATCTCTTACCCGGCTCTTAATACCTTCAACAACGTCTTTGTAAGATGACCTTACATATTTCTTGCGAAGAGTTGAAGAACTTGGCACCTATACTGACTTATTTTCAACTTTACAACATGTTTTCAAAAAATGTTGACACCTTGCTATACAATTTATACAGTGAGATATAGCAACTTACAAAAAAATTGCATACATATTTTGCAAACATTTCTTGCCCCGTCGATGTGTGACGATTTTAAATAATGTTGTTCTGCAGAAGCTGCTGGCGTGGTTTCTTCAAGTCATTAGATAGTTTATATTGGTGGAGAGCCGTTTTCAGGTGTTGGGAAATTTGGAATTTTTTTCACATATAACCTGTAATAAAACTGTTTAGTAAATAGGAGTCTAATGTAATAATATGGACTTCAAATTTTTTTTAAGATAACTTTTTTTTTTCTCGAAACTAAAACTACCGCCAATAGTCAAACTGTTACATGTTTAGTATATGTATACCGATAATATAAAATTTTTGAATCGTTAAAATATAAGTGGACTCACCTTTTTATCACAAATAATATAGAAAACACTTTCGTTGTCTATAATCTTCATTTCACTGTTGCCACCAACCCAACTCCGCAATAGACTTGATTTTTGTATCGCTACTTTCGGCATATTTTTGAAAAAGAAATAATTTTTATTTTATAAGCACAATATTCACAATCACAAGTTGCTTTGTCAGCTGGTAAAGAGAATTTAAAAACGAATTTACTGTATAATACCTAGCTGCATGTTGGCCTTATCCTTGTGATAAATAATTCCCAGATGAGTTTTCCCAAACAATAAAACTTGTAGATTTAGTAGATATTTGTAATAAAATTATTTCGTAGTTATCTTACCTAGTACCTGATATGAATAATTCCAAGAAACTATTATCTAAATATGTATAGAAAACCATTTTATTTATGTGATATTTTCAAATATGTGGAATATGCTCTTAATCAAGTAAATATGAATAGCATATGCATTTATAAAGAAAGACACAAATATGCTGCATATATATATATATATATATATATATATATATATATATATATATATATATATATATATGCACATGCATTTTGCATATAATCCAGTCTCTAGTGATAAAGCAGTAGATCCGCTGTACTTATAGATGGCAATAAAAATTAATAACAAAAATTGTAAGCAACTTTGAGTTTCATATTACAAAATTAGTTAGAATCTTACAGGGTGTTCGATAACATAGTGGCAAACCACACTTGTGTTTTTTTAAATGGAACACTGTATTTTATTTTCGGAATCTACTTCACTTTCCGACTACAACAATAGAAAGTTTTATCATGTAATACATGGTATTTACAAAGTTATAACCAATTTTCTATGAAAATTGTACCAAGTTCAACTCCCTGTATAATTAAAAAGAAGCACAACAACAATGATCTATTGCTGTGACATTTTTTATTGATGTAGATATTATTTTAATGGAAATAAGCCACAATTAAAAGTTAAAATAAGTTTATTCACGTTTTCGTAACAGCATTACATCAGTCAAGACATACCCAGGAGCCGATATCAAGTTAGACCACAACCCACTGATTTGCAAAATGAGGGTCAGGCTAAAGAAGATTCCTGTAGTTTCAACCCAAAATACGACATCAGACTATCCAATACCAACGCAAAGAACAGAGTGTAAAACAGTATATTCATAACAATTTGAATACCGTTATTCAAACTGATTTAATAGACCAGGAGCTTGAAAAATTGTATAGACTTTCACAATACATACAAGAAAAATTCCTCAAACCACCAAAAATTAAGAAAAAATCGTGGATGATAAATGTGATTCTAGATATGATGGAACAGAGGCGAAAGGTTAAAAGGCAGGATCAGACATTATACAAAATAATATACAAAGAGATCAAAAAAGCAATCAAAATGGCTAAGGACACACAGCTGAGAGAAGAATGTCGCAAATACAGCTATTACAACAGAAACACGATTCATTCAATATGCACAAAAAAGTTAAAGAAGCTGTAGATTTATAAAATCCTAGAAGAGTTGTTTGGCAGACAACTAAAGTAATCTACTACTAAGTGTGGAAGAGAGATTAGACACTTGAAAGAAATATGTAGAAGTAACATTTGCAGATGAAAGGCAGATTGCCATTGAAGACATAGAATTCCAAACAGGAACCCCGATTACCATTGAAGAAGTCAGGGCAGTTATTAGAAAAACTAAAGATGGTAAAGCTGTAGCGCCTGACAACTTTTCTTCAGAATTCCTGAAACTTATGGACGAACAAGGAATACAATGGATAACGACTACATTTAACAAAATATATATCAGTTAAAATATTTCCCAAAGCTGGTTAAAGTCGACCTACGTAACTATACCAAAAAAATTAAATGCAAAAGCATGCGAAGACTACAGAATAATTAGCCTAATGGGCCACTTACTTAAAACGTTTTTAAAAGTGATACATAACAGACTATATAAACAATTTGGATTCCGCGATACCTTAAGACATCACTGAAACCCAATTTAGATTTAGGAACGCCATGGGTACACGAGAGGCATTATTTGGATTTAACGTTCTCATGCAAAGATGTATGGATGTAAACCAACCACTATGTTTGTTTTATTGATTACAATAAGGCGTTCGATAAGGTCCGACACAACCGTCTTATACAGTTACTTAAAGATAAACACATTGTCAAAAAAGACTTAAGAATAATAACTCATCTCTAATTTAACCAAACAGCAAAAGTTATAGTAGGCAAAGAAATCTCCCCCTTATTGTTCAATCTGTATTCGGATGAATGAATTGGAATAAAAGTCAACGGCAGACCCATCAACAATATCAGATATGTCGATGATACTATACTAATTGCAGAGAATATACAAGATCTACAGACACTCTTAGATAATGTAGTAAATGCTAGTGAGGAAAGCGGACTAACGCTTAATGCTAATAAAACAAAATTCATGACAATTTCCAAAACACAATAAGACATTTTAAACATAAGAGGGGTTCCAATAGAAAAGGTAAAAAACACAGATATCTTGGTACAATTATTAATGAAAATAACGACTATACAGAAGAAATAAAAATGAGAATTGGACAAACTAGAGCAACATTTAATAAGATGAGAAAAGTATTATGCAGTTGAGACCTTAGTTTGCAACTCAAAATAAGAATATTACGTTCATATGTGTTTTCGGTGCTGCTGTATGGGGTGGACGCCTGGACCTTAAAGAAAGAGGTGAGCGATCCACTTGAAGCATTCGAGATATGGACCTACCGAAGAGTATTAAAATAAGTTGGTTAGACCGAATAACAAATGTTGAGATCCTCAGAAAGATGACAAAGGAAATGGAAAATAACTGTGATGATTACACCAACCTCCTTAGAGGAGACGGTACCTAAAGAAGAAGATACCTTAGGCACCCGAGAAGCTCTATTTGCTATACAAGTGCTTGTCCAGAGATGTCAACTATGATGTATATATTTGTTTTATCGACTATAACAAGACATTTGATAGAGTAAAACATGACAGGCTCATATTCATCTTTAAAGAAGCTTGCGAATTATATATAATTTATATTACAACCAAACTGTCAACATTAAAGTTAAAAGAGACAATCTCCATAAATAGAGGTGTGAGACAGGGATACATTATGTCTCCAGTGCCATTTAACATGTTTTCGGAACGTATCTTCGAGCAAGCACTGGACAACTGGAGGAAGGCGTCTTAGTTAACGGAGTGCGTCTAAACAACATAAGATATGCTGACGACGCAGTAGTTGTTGCAGATAGCCTAGATGGTTTACAAACAATAATGTCGCGCATATCAGATATAAATCGAGAATATGGGCTGTATCTTAATACGAATAAAACAAAGTACATGGTAGGTAGTAAGCGCGAAATATTAAATACACATCTTTTAGTGAACCAACAGCCAATTGATAGGGTAAACAGCTACACATATCTTGGTACTAACATAAACAGTCAATGGGACCACTCTGCTGAAATAAAACAACGCATAGGGAAAGCAAGATCAGCATTTGTAAAGACGAAGTCTCTTTTCAGAAGTCACGATTTACCACTTAGTACCAAAATCTCTATCGATGCTATGTATTTTCTACATTATTATACGGAGTAGAGGCGTGGACGCTTTCGAAAGCTTCTTTAGGAAAGCTCGAGGCTTTCGAGATGTGGTGTTACAGGTGCATTTTACGAATTTTATGGAAGGATCGTGTGACTAATATTAAGGTCCTTCGTAGAATGGGCAAGGAATGCGAGATCACTAACACAATCAAAGAGGGCAAATTAGAATATCTTGGCCATGTCATGAGAAATGAACACAGATATGGCTTATTGTAACTCATTCTTCAGGGCAAGGTATTTGGAAAGAGAGGACCAGGGAGAAGAAGATTATCTTGGCTTCAAAACCTAAGGAAGTGGTTCAATACACCTACAAACTGACTATTCCGAATAGCTGCAAAAGTAATGTTAGGATAGCTATGCTGGTCGCCAACAACCGGAACAATAGGCACCGTAAGAAGAAAAAGTTTCTTTTTCACTTCGGAAATCGTTCTCAAAATACAAATATTAATAATTTTACATTACAATTATTACAATTTTACAAAAATTTATAAATCCTCTTTGCACCGTTATTAGTTAAGTAACCTCTTATCGGAGACCTAAAGATGGGCTGTAATTACAGAGCCAAAAAGTGGCCATCCAAGTTACAATAAAAGCATAAAAAGCAATACGAGTAAATCTTTTCTTTTTGATTCAAACAATTCATGAAATAAATTCCTCCAGGATATGACGGTTTTCTGCTAAGAATTCTTTTTATATGCATGGATTGGCTTAACATTTTGACAGTAGGTAGAGAAAATGGCTCAAAGATTAAAATATACCCTATGCCAATAGATGCTTTTCCTCTGGAGGTGGTTACCACTCCAACTGTGTGGGGTGGAAATTGTTTATAAAAAACCATGATAATCGCTAGTATACTGAATTTTAGGAGTTTTTTCAAAAAGTCAATATTTTTGGAGTTATTCGTGACTGAAAATTCACAAATTGCACGGCAAAGAGCGTGTTTTAAACGTTTTAAATGGTTTTTTGCGAAAACACCAAAGATTTACATTTTATCGTACATTGTATCGTATTTTATTATTATCGTAAACTTAATATTAACAAAGTTATGGCTGTTCGAAAGTAAAGTCTTATTCATTGAATACAAAACTTCAAACACATTATGTTGAATAAACGGAAAACGGTAAGTTTTTCATGGAAAACTTTTAGAAACTTTTTTAAAAATTTTAAAAAAGCCTTTAAATGACCACTGATAAAATTAATTTGCAAGAAAAATAATTTTCTTTATTTTTGGTGGTTTAAGGATTTTCTATGCAACTTTTATAGCTCCTAGTCCAGTATATCCGTTTGAACAACGGTATTCAAATTGTTCTGCATATACTGTGTTAAACTCTATTGTATGTATTGATATTTTAGTAGCCTGATATATTTATTTGCTGTGAAATGTCAGTATCATTATAACCTAATTTAATATTACGGGTTAGTATTGAAAACAAGTGTATATCTATCATCACATTATTAATAAAGGTTAAACAAAAATGGATTCCTTACCTGTATTGAATCCTTCGAAAACAATTTGGAACATATAGGACAAGAAACATCCGTCGATGATCCAACTGATGTTGAGGAAGAAACTGTCACGCCATTTTCTTTAACGGCAGATGTATCATTATGTCGAGTCCTACTTGATACGATCCTACTATCGAGGATGTCATCGCTAGAATTTACCTTTTGCTTTTGAACTGAAGTTGAAGCAGATTCGATAGTTATGTTAAGTGGTGAAGGATCTAAAAATTATTTCAGTTGTAATAGAAATAGTACAATATCTTCTATTTTGGAGTTATAATGATAGTTTATTAATAAATGAAAAAACTTAATTATTAATAATCAATTTCGAATATTTGCTAGAAAGCGATTCCTAAGAAAATAGAAACAAAAACACTTTCCCTATAAATAACCTAAAAAAAATTATATAATACATATATATTATTTGCATTCGGTCTACTATTTACTTGCCAATTCATAATAAGGAAATTCGTTTAGAATCAATCGTATCTAACTTAATCGTAAATTGAACCAGTTAAAATGTCGCTTTTAGCGTAATCCAAGATATCTTAAATATTATGTTTATATGGGATTAAGCCACAATAGATTGTAACGAAAATTACATTTGAACTAAAGTTAATTTAAATTTTTAAAATTAATTAATTCATAAAATTTTGCGAAAGAAAAGATAGTTAAGATTTCATTTTACGTACAATCCGACAAGAGAGAGCTGACGGGTTGCGCGTAGAAGAAATTGAAAAGTGGAATAGATTGCTAATTTCTCTTGCTGTCGGCTAGTAGTTCACATCGTAGTGATTAGTGCTAAATTTCTGACAGTGTTATCAAGCATTTACATTTTTATTTGGGGTGACCCTATATTATAAACTATTATTTATATTTATTAAAATATCAAGTGTATTAAAGCTATTTGTTCAACATAATAATATGGTAAGTATACAAAGTATATCTACTAACGTATAGTCCGTCCCAAACCCTTCTTTCAGTGCGTCATAGTTGTTCGAATTCTCTCTAACGCATTAAGCTAGAAGTGACAGAAAAAAAACGTGAGTCTGTCATTATTATACATAGAACTTAAAAAATTAGGTATCGTTCACAGGTATTCGCATATTAAAACGAATTCTACTTACGGATGTATAATGGGCTGGAGTTTAGAATACGCTAAATAGATATCCAATCAATGATGCACATAAATATAATTTGACGCAGATGGTCTCGATCGTGACAGTGACAGTAGTTTCATAATGTCAACTGATAAAATGATAATTGTCATTCCAGGTTAGTATTTTCAGACATTTTACCTACAGTGAAAATTAAATTTTGTATTTATTGTAATAAAAATATTTTAAATATTTCGAGATATACCGAGAATGGACAAAGACTAATATTAACATTATTAAATTATTTTCAATTAGAAAACGAGGCTGGGACAACTTTATTACAAGTTTCTGTCGTTCGCGAATCAGATTGTGAATTCAGGAATGATATTGAGGAAATATCTTAAACTAATACCGTTATAGATATTTATATGTATTAAAACGGTTCTTTTTAGAACCACGACATTTTCTTGAAATGTAAGATATGATTGATCCCAGCCACATCTCTACTGTAATCATTGATTTTAATTAATCAGATTCTGAATCGGATTGTGGATTGTTTGAAATATAATATTCATTTTTATTCATAAAAAAGAAAGTAAACTTACATTCGGTATCTTGTTTTTTAACTAAACTCCATTAACACTATTTCATGTGGGTACCGGAACTGGTAGATTAACTCAAAAATCAATTGCTTTACTATTTTAACTATTTATATTGTTTTTTTAACTTAAATTCATAACACTCTTTCATCTGCACATCAAATCTGGTAGAATAACTCAAAAATCAACTGCTTCACTATTTAAACTATTTGCACTATTTAATGATAAATCTTCACAAAATTTAACTATTGGCTGCCACAGAAACTTACCGGAAAATTACTTATCCAAGTATGACTGATTTCAATCGATGTTATTTTATCACAGGAATGTTTGCTTTGATGCCTTACAATTACCAGTGATTTTTTTTATCTCGCAGTCAACTCTTAAAAGATTCTAGGAGAAAGTGTTATTTTAAATAAACAAATATTCCAAATCCATAGTGTTTTTAATAAATAGTAATAAATCCATAAACAAATCTTAGCTAATTAAGCACTTTCCTTGGAATGTATAGAATAGGAATTATGACAAACTGCCGTTCCAATATAATGCACAATAAAAATTTTTATACAGGACGGGACCTCTAATATGTAAATTAAATAAAAATTTGAATTGTTAAAGTTTTTACTCCACATTTTAAAAAAATAACCTTTTCACATTTAGCCGATTACGATTCTGCAACTGTCAGATTTAACTAAAATGTCATGCAATAATTCTCGACATTCTTAAAATCCTATATGACGTCAAAATTAGTGACGAACTGCAAAAAGGGTTTGGGACAGACTGTAATTTTCAGATTCCAACTAAATTTTTGATACGGCAACTACGCATTTATGACACCCGCGATTAAGTACCTCTCCTATCTCTCTTAGAATAGTTCCTTTTCTATTTTCGCGCAGCTCACCCGCCAGGTCTGGCTTGTCGGATTGTACACTGCCTCTGCATATTCGCTTATACGGATTTTGTCCTAACACGACTCTTCAGAGCGAGTGGTACAGAAGCCCTTCAATGGGCATTATGAATAAAATTAGTATTTGGAGGAATAACTTTGTTTTGTAGCATATACTCGATTCTGTGAGGCATGAAGTTCACGAATAGGCCAAATCTTCTGGTGTAATAACTCTAAACTAGTTTTAAATAATGGCTTCTATCACCTTATTAGTTGGGTTTTGGCGTGATATAAAAAACTTTCAGCCTTGATCATAGATTTTCTATTGGATTTAGATCGGAACTATTTACAGGCTAAGGCAGGAAGTAACGACACGGTTTCTCAACCATTCCATAGAAGTCTGTATTGTTAAGTGTCCCCTTCAAACAAATCTTTGATAGTCGGCAGCAATTTAGCTTGCAGTATTTCTTCCTAATATTTTTTGCATAAATATTGCCCTCTATTAATGCCAAACGTCCAATTCTATTAGTGGTCGACGGCGAACAAACTGCAATACTTACATCACTCCCAAAGATCGAAATTCTGGTTTTATCACTCCAAATTACCTTACTCCACTATTCTTCAATCCACACTGTGTATGGCAATAGCTAATCAATGCGTTTTTGACTCTGTTTTTTGTTCAGGAAAGGCTTCTTTCTAGGGGTTTTTGCTCGCAATCCATTTTCACACAATTTTCAACAGCAACAGCGGATCTGCGATGATCTTCTAAATACAGGTGGCATATTCTGCGCTCATCTTATTGACTAACCTTCGGTTTTCTGAATGTTCTTTTTGCTGATTTTCTCGTTCTCGTATTATGACAACGTTTCATTACACTTTCATTACACCTGATTTTGTGGCGCCACCACCCAATGTGTTGCTATTTCTTGATATATGTAATCTTCTTCACGAAAGGTACTTGCTTTGGTTTCCTTTTTTGGCGGCCGATCAATACGTTTTGGGTTTTTGGGAGCCATTTTGAATTGAAACTGACGTGTTCCTCTCCGACAGTTAAAAAATATCACCTTAGTAACAACTACCTGATGTCACTAATAAACACTGGAAATCGCACAAAACTGTACTAAATGCTTCTATTTGAACTGAATCACGCCACTCGTCCTTGACTGAATAAACTCTGATGCGATGATGTATTGGCATTCACGTTCCCGAATTTTCATCGTTTTTCTTGAATAAAATACTAAGCGGAAATAAGATATTAAAACAATGAAATACAAATATAATATTGACAAACAATATAAATCTCGATTAAGAGATGTTTGGTGGAAATGGCGTGTTGTGCAAGGGCACAAGAGGGTTTGGAAAGTCTAATATCACTTTTATGTGAAGTTATACGCCCTAGAAGTGAACGACTGGTTTGGCCAATGTAGCCCATCTGCAATAAACAAAAGAACCGACATCGACAATTTGAGCCAGGTTTACCACTCTCTCATCTTACGAAACAAATAATACCAATATTCATCATTTAAAATAGCCTTATTTTCTATTCAAAACAATAACATAATCATCCCAGATCTCTAAGTTTCATTAAAACATAAATTACAAAAAAAAATCATATCAAATTTTTCCGTCATACAAATCCACCCGTCCAACTAATCTTTCAATGACCCCCGTAGAAGTTCATAATTGCCTCAAACCTTGGAATTTGTTGAACATATGGCCCTTGAAAAAAATTTCGGTATCGCGTCACGTCGTTTAGCATAGATTGCAATAAATCAGTGTTTTGTTTGTCTTCATTGGAGAACCATCTCTAAATGAAGCCAAATGTACGTTTAAAGTTTTTGTAAATCTTCGTTTCTGCGAATACTATTTTTTGCATGTTCCTGAATTTATGAGTAACCTTAAGTACATTTACAATAACATCTTTAATACTACATATTGAGTTATAAGTAATAAATTATTAGATCTGTATTTCTTATAAACTCTATGTCATCTTTGTATTTTAGAGAACTGATGAAGCTTTAGAAGTATAAAGCGAAACGTCTTCTATAAACTTATGAAGTAGGTGACTTCTGTTTTTTATTTTGCCAACCTGACTGACCGAATAAACCGAATATATATATATATATATATATATATATATATATATATATATATATATATATATATATATTGTAATGAAAACAGAAATACAATAAGTTAGCATAGAAATATATTTAAGTCAGCCATGTGTATATACAACCAGATATACACTGTTAATTAATAAATTTATTTAAATAGTAATTAACGACATAATTTATAAGTTATATACTAGATAATATTATTAAAAAAAAATTATATGAGGGTATTTTTAAGAATCTAGCATATAATAAATGTTGAAAGTTTTTTTTTAATAATATATGTCAGCCATATGTATATGCAACCAGACATACACTGTAGTATCAAACTTCATGTCAAAAAGGAGTTTATTTATTTGGAATGTTAATTTAAAATAAAATTACATATGTAAAATAGTAATAATATATTTCATATAAATGTTTAAGTTACATATAATAGTGTAATTCTGATCTGGAGAGCCTAAAGTCAGTTAAATTGTACATGTAGACCAAAGAAAGTTCTAGAAACGTCAATAGGACTATTTG